TCAGTTTGATCTCAATGAAAACTGATCTACATATTAGCTATGTGTCCTTATGATTTATTCCCAGCTTTAAAAAGGATCTCCTTTGACTTTCCCTGAAAAATGTATCATATCTTAGTGCTGTTTCTATAAACATTGGATATAATCTGGCTTGGCTTGTTAAGCCAGACTGCTTTAAACTTCTAAACAACATTATCCCTGAGCTTTCTGGTTTGCTACTTCACCCTAATGATACTGTTATTCATTAATTTTGTCTTGCAAACCTCCAATGCCTTCACAGAACAGATGAGATTATATTCCATATGTGGGTGTTTCCTATGAACTAATAATGTGGCTTCTGAATGAGGACACTTTGCATATAATTTTATTTGGACATATCAGATTTGTTGAGGTTTCCTACATTTTCAGGGTTTTATTTTAAAAGATTCCTTCTTCTCCATCTTAATGCGTCAGTCAGTGTTTCTCTTTCATACAAAATCCAAATAAGATACATAAAGCATTCTGGTTCAAACTGGATAGAATTTTAACAGGTTAAAGGGTGTGACTGATTACCCCTTAAGATACAGTTTATGTTTTACAGAAAAATAAATAAATCAAGCCTTAATGATGCATCTGTATAATTAAAACATAATATGTACAGTAGTAATTCATTTTGGTTTAAACAGCGTCCATCTTTTTTAAAAACATCAACAAGGATGCATCCCACTGGAATTCTTGTGCCTGCTTATTGAAACAGACTGAGGACATTTTCATCTGGTAATATTTTTTTTTTGTTCACCTCTCATCATGGCTGCACTCTAATTCTGAATCACTGGCTGTGGAGAATTACATTAGGTGGATGAAACCTGCTGAGCGCAAAGACATGAGTGGGAATGATAAAGAGAGTGAAGAGAGTAATGCTCACCATGAGTGTAGGCTTTCTGCCAGAGCTTGTGGGCCGTCGCAGCAGTGAGCATTCAGCAGCGAGGTCTGACAACGACAAAACTCTCACGCTTTTAATGGCTGATTGGCCGTCACGGAGCAATGTTCTGCTGCTACGAAGATAAATAAACCAACAAGAAATGACAAGTTTCTGCGAAAAAAATTCAAGAGGTGCTCCTTCTTTCAGCTGAACAGGGAAAGTGCATGGAATGTTAAAGTCACCCATCGTCCATTTGCACCAACACTTCACTACAGTCTTACTCTCTCTGTATTTTTCCTTAAAACATTTATAAATCTTTTTTGTTTTTTCTCATCACAGTGTGGCTGCTTTATAATTAAACCTCCTGAGTTACCACAGAGAACTTAGATCACTTTACACCTGAAATATGAGTAAAGTAACTATACCAGCATCTCCATCAGCTTCAGCTGCAGACTTTAATTAACCCACTCTAAAATCTCCCTGTGCATGTCACTGTAGCTATCTACAGTCTGCTAGATGCATATGACCCTGTGGCTCCTACAGTTTTTTAGCCACCCTCATTATGTCAGATTTTATTGAAGTAATTCGATTCCATGAGTCAGACGGTAAATAAGCCTGGGTGTGGCAATAAGAATGTGCAAATATAAGTTTATATGAGGTAAACTGCAGCATGTTTTCACATAGGACACAGTTGGTTTGGATTGTCATTTTAATAAATTAAACCTTCATTTGAAAGCTTCAGCTTGGTTATCTTTCTGTTGAATATAAATAAGTTTAATTATCTAAAACACTGGAGAGGGAGCAAACAGAAAAAGAAGAAATCCGTGAGGAGGAAGACTGCTTTTTGATGGAGTTATAATTGGGAAAAGCGTCATTATAGTATATATATCAACAGAAATTTAAAAACACTTGGCTTCAGTGTGGACGGTCGCCTCTTGTGTATACATAAGCTTAGGCAGCTAATCAACAGACAAGCTCACACGCTCCCTTCTCACTGTCTTCCTAAAGCGGTTCACCCTTGGATTGTCATCGTGGGTGGTAAAAAGCGGGCCCACCCCTCAACCAGGAAGGCGTCTATATAAGTCCTTCTCATCCACACACACACACACACACTTACATACTTGCAGACATTTGCCCTAATTATTCCCTACCCCTCCTAAATGTGGGAGCCCTGCGAGTCTGAACAGGTGGAGGAGCAGAGCAGGGATATAGTCATGACTGTAAACCGAGCAACACACACGCCGCCTTCATCCAAACACATCAGAGCACATTACTTGGACTTAATACCACTCTCATCATTTGCCAACAATACCTTCCTAATTCTAACAGCAACACGGCTACATTATGAAATGTAGAGCTTCAACATACTGAGACTTATGAAAATCCTCCTTACTGGTATTAGCAGCAAATCTAGTGTTTATTTTTACTGTCTTATTAATTGTTTGAGCGTCGCCATTTATTTTTGGTTTGACAAACTTGTTATTTTGTTAGTCACTCTCTCATTGCCTTTAATTAGGGTGTGACTTTCTCTTTTTCTTTCCGTTATATTTTGATCCACAACATTATCACATACGCAGATAAGTGTTAAAGTGTGATTTTTTTTTTATTGAAAGCCAGCCAATACAAAAAGACGGAAATGGCGTCATGATGATTGTCTCATTTCATGGTAATACTCTGCGGAAAAAGTAGGATTAGGGTTAGCAAAGACCTTTTAGACTGACTGTATAGTCACAGATGCCAACAGTTGTAACACCAGACGTTTAAGAACAAATAAACAAACAGTGAATACTTTAAATCTATCCCTAAATTATGCTGCTACAATAAGAGGTGCAATAATGTTGTAAACTGTTATTGATTTTCTAATTCGTCTTTTTTGGTAATCATAGAAAGGCTTTAAGTCATTGGGGAAATTTAATTAAGATTCAGTTTATAGAATTTTTTTGTCTAAATGCATCCAGTTTTCCCTTTAAAATTGCCTTTCAAACTGTGGAAACTATCACCTTCTTTTTTTTTTTTGTTGATTTGTTTTTGTGTGCTTCTTGGACAGTTATTCAAAGCAGGTAGCTGGTAGTGGATCTATCTGTCTGTGAATCTATTTATCTGTCTACAAACATTTTTTTCTGATCTACAGCCCAGCCCCACTACAATAAATATTGTTAGTATTGTATGAAGAGTAAATTACAGAATTATACAATAATCACCAGGCTTAAATTCAGTGTTAAATATGTAGGCTATTGTTTTTTTTTATTATTATTATTGTACTTTCATTAAATTGAGAAATTTTATTTTTATGATTAGTCTTTGTTTCTCATGTGTAGACAATTGTAAAAATTGTGGGGAGTTGTTAACAATCTGGAAGTGAACAATAAATAAAATAATACTTTTTACCCCACAGAGGGAAAAAACAGCAACAAATTATAGGCTTAACAACAGAAAAGACTACTGCACATTTATCAGAAATATGGAACACTTACATAAAAATGAAATGTGCAGCTGAGGAGGACAAATTAAAAAAAGATAGAAAAAGAATCAGGTAGCAATGGTGAATAAAAAACAGCAACAGATGCTTTGAAGGACAACTGTAAAACTGAGATGCAACAGAGATGTAAAAAAATATAGACTTTGTTCAAAGTATTGATGCTTATAAAGCCTAACTGCTGATCTTTGATGATGCTGCTTGGTGCACATAGGGTGCAGCAGGCTGAATAAGCTCTTCAGCTCTGCAACAGCGTCATGTAAAGAGAGGGTAACATCGACAAAAAGTGATGTTGTTCTCCTATAACACTGCTGTTTCCCACCCAATGCACCGGGTCCAGGAGGCATCCTAGACCAGAGGAGGCCTTTCTAATGAGCTAATGAGCTTCCTCTCCGCTGTAGATAACAAACTGCAGCACAAACTCTCAAATACATTTATACAAATAAACAGTGTTTTGCATTACATTTGGTTTATTAGAATATGCATTGTTTGCATAAATGTGTCTATTAATTGGTGGTGTAGTTGAAATTGCATTGCAAGAACCTCCATCATGTTTGGACTGGCAGGAAATAATTTAGGAAATTCACACAATGGGGAGGATGATTTTCTCATTAAGACTTGACGCTTATAAATATAATAAATACTGGAAAATTGGAACACTCATCGGAACTTGACATCTACTCTATAAGTAATTTAATTACTATTATTATTATTATTATTATTATTATTATTATTATTATTATTATTATGATGCAGCTGCTTCTGTCAAATTAGTTGCTCTGTAACTTTTGTTGGGGAGGGGTCTAACTGTTCATTTGTTCAGTGTACGTATTTGTATTTCTATTACCGGTACAAATATAACTACAAAAAAAAAAAACATATTAAACAACAAACAAAAAAAAAACGCATTTTTTGCCTAAATGCGCCTATTAATTGATGACGTAGTTGAAATTGCTTTGCAACGTGTGTGAGTTCACACTGCTTTATATTATAGTGTTAGATTACTGCACAAATTATTGTATTCCATTGTCCATCCATCCATCCATCCATCCATCCATCCATCCATCCATCCATCCATCCATCCATCCATGCATCCATCCATCCATCCATCCATCCATCCATCCATCCATCCTGGGGAAAATTTTGTGATAAAGCATGCTGAAAACCGTTTTGAAATCTTCAGGAATGCCCATCAGGTGGCGCCAAAAGTCGTTTTTTTTTTTTTGCCGAAGACGTCAGCTGGTTGTGGTTACTAAGGTAATCAATAGGATGTCAGCTTCTGTCACACACCAGATAGAAAGACGGCTTACCCAGAAATTGAAACTCAATCCGTTTCTTTTAATTGTTTTTTAAGACGCTTGAGCACACAGAAAGAAACCAAACTGTGCAAAAAAATCTGCACATTTCTTTCTTTCTTCTAACCAAAGAATGCATGTGTTATTGTTTTATTGTAAGCAGGTGGCAATGGTGCGAAACTAGACGGGTGTTTTTGATCATTTGTGTACAGAAAGCATTAATAACTGATGGGCTGTTGGAGATCTGCCCCCTGGATGCGCGCATGTGGTGGTTTTACAGCTTTCTGCTTGGGGCGCATGAGCGCGCACGCCGAAATTGTTGATGGGCGCGCGGAGAAATGATGATGAGAGCGTGACCTCACCGCTTTCTGCACAGCTGCTGGAGAGAGGAGGAGGAGGAGGAGGCAGTGAGAAACAGAAACACGCTGAGGGAGACAGACGGAGACCCAGAACAGTGAAGCGCACTCAAAACACACCAGGAGCTTTGTGTTTATATAAAAAAAAGCAGTGGAGAGCAGCGCGGTGACGCAGCGGGGACCCTCCAAACCACCCGGGTTCACCTCCCAGAATGTTCTGTTTTTCCCTGAAAAAGTCCCTGCGGCGCATCCACGCACACTGAAGCCCAGATGCTCACTCTCTCCGCCGACATGGACGACTCTTCGTCGCTGCTGGATCTGTTGGAGTGCTCGGTGTGCCTGGAGCGCCTGGACACCACGGCCAAGGTGCTGCCGTGCCAGCACACCTTCTGCCGCCGCTGCCTGGAGAACATCGTCAGCTCCAGGAACGAGCTCCGCTGCCCGGAGTGCCGCATCCTGGTGGACTGCGGGGTGGACGACCTGCCTGCCAACATCCTCCTGGTTCGCCTCCTGGACGGGATCAAGCAGCGGCCGCAGCGAGGAGGAGGAGGAGTAGGCAGACAGTCTCTGGCAGGAGGCGCGCTCCATGGGTACGCAGCCGGGATATCCGCCTCCCCTCCGGGGACAGCAATCAGAGAGCTGCCGGTGGCCACAAGGAGCTCCCCTGTCAAGGTGAGTTCCCCTCTGTTCATGCGGATTGTGAGGAGCAGGGGGTCCTTTACACTTCATCATTTCAACATGATCAAAAACTAAACACAACTTTATAAACTTTCAGCGACACAAAGTTTTGTTCCTCGGAGTTAAAGCATTAACTTCAGCACTGAATGTCTCTTTAGAAGGTAAATCAAGAGTGCAGCAATGTGATCAGAAGAACAATGTCTGACAAAACAAATCAGACTTCTGTAAGATGTTAAAATTTCCCTACTTTACAAACACAAACTGCAATGGCTGTCATTGATGTATTTCATGTATTAGAATGAAGGGATTCAAACTTTTTGACCTGTATCCAAATTACTGTTCCACACCATGAGGCATGGTGGCAGAATCCTCATGCTGTGGACATGCTTTCATTCAACAAAGAAAGACAAGCTGCTGCAGGGTAAAGCTGGAGGAAAACACTTGGTACTGGAGTGGAAATTCATCTTCCAGCAGGGAAAAAAGAATAAGTAACAAAAAAAAAAGTCATGCAGAGGTAGAATATAGTGTTTTAGTCTCCAGTCCTCCATGCAACTTTTAGATGGTCAATGGTCTGAAACATGTCAATCAAATGGCTGATTTGTCTCCTCTGCATAGAGTCAGATTTTATTATTCAATTAAGGGATGTTAAAGCAGGGATACATCTATAAGCCAGAAAGCCAAACTTTATTCTCACATTTTAATACATAGATCAGGAAGAGCTGTAGAGAAGAACACTAGAAATATTAAACATGATTACAGACAACTGTTTATTAAAATTTATTAAAAAAAGGTGAGTTTTCAGTTGCATTTTAAGAGCGTTCAAAGGAGTCTACAAAACACTGACTAAATGGGAGAGAGTTGCGGAGAGTTGCTCCTAGCTCCTATCCTACTTCTAGCTCCTATCCTGCTCCTATTGTATCCTGCTTCCTATCCTGCTGCTACCTCCTATCCTGCCTCTAGCTCCTATTCTGCTGCTAGCTCCTATCCCACTTACAGCTCCTATCCTGTTTCTAGCGCCTATCCTCCTCCTTCTTCCAGTCCTATCCGGCTCCTAGCTCCTATCTTGCTTCTTGCTCCTATCCTGCTTCTACCTCCTATCCTGCCTCTAGCTCCTATTCTGCTGCTAGCTCATATCCCACTTATAGCTCCTATCCTGTTTCTAGCTCCTATCATCCTTCTTCTTCCAATCCTATCCTGCTCCTAGCCCCTACCTTGGTACTTGCTCCTGTCCTGTCCTATCCTGCTCCTAGCTCCTATCCTGCTTCTAGCCCCTATACCACTTCTACTGTAGCTCCTATCCCACTTCTAGTTCCTATCATGTTTCTAGCTCATATCATCCTCCTTCATCCAGTCCTATGCTGCTCCTAGCTCCTATCCTGCTTCATGCTCCTGTCCTATCCTGCTTCTAGCTTATATTGCAAGCTCAACTGTAGGAAGCTCATGCTGATTTACATGCAACTAGGGCTGCAACAACGAATCGATAAAATCGATAAAAATCGACTTTTAAAAGCGTTGGCAACTAATTTCATCATCGATTAGTTGTGTCGCGCGATTATTGCGTCATCCGCCGCGCCGTCATCACTGCCTCTTGACTGAAAGAGGAAGAAAAAAAAATATGGCAGAGCGAGTCAGCGCCACAGGTGCAGTGTTGCCAACTCAGCGACTTTTCAGACCCCTCCGGCGACTATTTTTCAAAAAAGCGACTAGCGACAAATCTGGCGACTTTTTTCGGTGTCACTGGCGGCTTTTGGAGACTCTTACGTGAAAGCATGTATCGTTCCTACTCTGCCGTAGGGCGCCTCCCCCACACCAACCGCGTTCTCCCGCAGGAGTCCCCCTCAGCGCTGCAGTCAGAGCCTCAGCGTCCAGACTGCAAATGAAGCGCGCATGCACCGGGATTGACGGCGCAAATTGATCACAATAATTAAAATAGCCTGCGCTTTGTAAAGCGAAAAAAGTGATAACATGCAACTTTTTTCAAAAGAAATTAACATGGCACGGAACCACCATGTTTGTTTGGTTTTAAAGTGGGGAAACGTAACGTTAGTTTCTCAGGTAGCCATTCTGATGCTTTCCTTACCGTGTTAGTAGGTTACAGTGATAAGGTTGGCTACTTATTTTACTTTTAATTTCATTTGAATTAGCTTAAGCAGCGTTTACATTTACTTTATAAATAAATTAACTTGCAAATTATGAGGGCAAGGCTTTTAAAGTTTAAATCTTCTGGCAAAGATAAAGTAAAGAAGATCCTGCAATTTATGGAAGTAAAGCAGAATAAAATCCAGCAAGATCAGTAATATGTCAAGTAATTATATGCCACATTCCCATATAAATTGGAGTCTTTGGAGGATGTGTTTTTTAACACCCCTAGTTCTCTCATTTTTATTCCAAATACAATTTATAATTTGAATCACAGGGCTATTTTTATGGTTCAGTATTTTCTCAAGTAGCAACTTTAACTGCTATACTTTCCTGTCTTAAAAGGCAGAACTCTTCTAGTCTAAAAAAACTCATTTGTTGACATGGGGGGGCCTATTGTTTGAACCCCTTAGGGGCTTTTAAAAACAAAAATGTATTTTTTTGCGCTTTATGAAACAAAGTACCCTATATTTTGTGGTTGTACAGCTACATTACTCATGTAAGTTTGCGTAGTTTTAACACAAACATTTATTTTTCATATTGCACCAGTACAGTTAATGAGCAACCTGTACTTGTGTGCTTGTTTGTTCTGTCTAAAATGTTTATTTTGGAATAAAGAGGTTAATATAAAAAATATTTTTGTCCGATTCATCGATTAATCGAAAAAATAATCGTCCGATTCATCGATTTTTAAAATAATCTTTAGTTGCAGCCCTACATGCAACACATACTGCATGTAAAAGTTCTGAGCTGTTTGCAGGTACTTGACCATTGATAGCTCCAAAGGTGCAGGACACCAGCCTTCAAAGACTAAAGTATATTATCCTTGGTTTAGATGGATCATATTCATGTGTAAGCTCAGAGTCCAGAGCTTATTTATAACAAGACATGGTGATTAGATCCTATCTAATCTGTTTGAGGTTAACTTAATGTGCAAAGAGAGAAACAAGATTTCTGTTTTTGTTTTTAAATGCAAAGCCTCAAAAGACTCACAGCTGTAACTGAAAAAGGCTTGACTTGTGGAAGCCGACTGGGGATGCAAGGCAATTATTTAATGTTGACCCATTTTCCTTCAATTTTACAATTACTGTATAACACTGCCTTGTCTGGATGAAATACATTTCATACATAAGTTAAAATTTGTCACATCAAAAAAGGTTGAAATGCTCAAATGGCATTAAGACTTCTCCATGACACTGTATAAAAATGGTTTCTTTGCTGCTTTTAAGTGGAGGTGTATGAAACTGAACTCATCTGAAAGATGAGAATAGGGCTTTTCTGTGAGGACAGACAGGAAAGGTCAGTGTCAGTGTGAGGTTACATTTCCCACACTCAGACAGAGTGGAGTGGGAGTCATGTTTACTCCCTCCGCAGTGCATCCATTGCATTGTCTTGTGGCTTTGGCATGTTGAAGAATGTGGCCGTGAGAAAGCACAATGGGATGAGAGCAGCACAGGGAAGATTGTTGTGGTGAGGTAGAAAAAACTCAAGCCTATTGCTTGTTTGTCAGTTACAATAATGGCTTCTGATGTCAATTTAAAACATGATGAAGATGATGAAATCATTAATTCCAATGTTGCATTGTCTGGAAATTTGTTAGTCAAAGCCTGAATTAGCAGCTACCTAAAGGAAAATATGTTTTTTTTCCAGGATAAGACTGACCTGTACATCTTTAGTTTAATCTTGAGGCAAAAAAAAAAAAGATCTACAGCAGTGCAGAAAGCCTATTAGGTTTTAGAGCGTGCGGGTTGCAATGGATTCCTTATCCAAGTAAAGGCATTGTCTTTAGCTTTCTTACCCCCAGCTCCAGCTCTGTAGCTGACTTGTCAGGCATGCCAGCCATTGATTGAAGCAGTGTAGCGCTTTGTGTGATGAGGTGCAGCAACAGTAAGAGTCGTGCATTTATCCCAACAAACAGAATTACAAACACACTTTTAGCTTCATTTACAGACGGAAAATAGAAGCTGAAAAATTATGTTTGACTAGGTTGTAACCGTTGACAGATTTGTGTTGAGAATTGTTTTTTTTTTTTGTATTTACAGTTATACAATATCAAATAAACTGGTAATTAGCTTTTTGTAGTCTTTGGGAGCTACTTTAATTTTAAAAGGGTAGATGTGTTTTGTCAAAGGATTATAGCCCATTAATATTTTATCCATGGTATTTGATGCTCTTGGCATTTTGATTAAGAACAAATTCAGATTAGTTCGTTTTTGGAGGCGCCAAAAGCTAAAATAAACTTCTACTGTCATAAAACAGCTCATTCAAACCTTTTTTTTATTGTTGCACTGGGTGTTAATTTGACATACGCCTATGATTATTTTAGAGCTAAGGTAGTGTGATGTCAATTCCTCTCATCTCCCTGACTGAAACATATTGATGAGGATGGAACATGTAAAGTGTTCCAGTAAAAATAACTGTCTGGCAGAAATTTAGAGATGTGCAAAAAGCTAAAGGTCATCAGTAGCAATAACTCTATTTTACTGTGTTTTAAACTGCCTTACTTTTTTATTGGGAACTTACTAGAGGCATGTTTTTCCCACAATGGTAAAGTGTAGAAATGTATTTTCGTTATTAGAAACAGAATAAAAGTTAGTGCTGAATTGTGTGTAGTAGGTTTGATCGTGATCAAATGCTTTCTAGAGTCGTCAATTGAAGAAATTCCCTTTTTTGTAACACTAATATAAAGCTTGATGCAGAAACTAACTTCAGCCAGCAAGTGGCGAGCAGTGTGCCTTGATGCGATATTCTTACATCCACCGTCTTCCGCTTATTCTGTCATGGTGGGGCTGCTGACTATCTGCAGCAGTCTCTTGTCGAAAGGCTGGTAGCACCCCGGATAGCTTGGCAGTCTG